ACACAAGGGCTATAAATCTTACTAAGAATCTTGTCTTACATTCACGCACTAAACACATAGAGATTAAGCATCACTTTCTTCGCGATCATGTTGAAAAGGAGGATGTTGTGTTTGAGCATGTTTATACTAAAAATCAACTTGCTGATATTTTTACAAAATCACTAGCAATAGAACCTTTCTTCAACATTCGCTGTGAGCTAGGGATTTTAGATCTCTCTTACTTGATGTAATATCGTTCCTCTCAACTGAGGTAATATCGTTCCTCTCTACTTTCTCTCTAAGAATTCTATAGTTACTTGTAAATTAACCTTAATTGTTCCATTAATATTGTTTATATATTTCTTTTACATAAATTGTTTGAACTTGACATATGCAAATTGCATTGCATCATTATGTATGCATAATCATCTTTAGATATTTCATTTTTCATAATCATATAATTGGAAATGGGTCACATATCCAACTGTTCACAAGAAAATTGTAGAAAACTACATTTTTGTTAAAATTTACTGTTATGAGTCAGCTCATACAGTTATGATTCAACTCATAATGAAGAAAAATTTTAAAAAAATAAACCAAAACTGTTTTTCGGTCGATACATAGAGGCTTGCATCGACACATGTTGAATTAACATCTATTTCAGGTTGATGCATAGTGGTTTGAGTCGACACATGCTGCTTCCGGTCGAAACATTCGATTCATGTGTCAATGCAAAATCTAAAAATCAGTTTTTTAATACAGGATGTGTGTACACATTCGTGTTTCATGTCGACACATAAGGTTAATTAATGCCTTTATTTTCGGTTGGGTCGACCCATCTACCCAATTTTATATTTTAAACTCTTTCTAATTATCTCATTTATTACATACAACGGCTAATCATACATATCATTACATTTATCCTTATGTCTTTTGTTCTGAAATTTGTTTCAATGTTCTATTCAAACAATTATTGTTATAAGCTTATGTAAATTGAATATTTCTGCGTTAAATGCTTTCAGCGTAATTATTTTCTGTTTACTTGGTTATTACATTTATATATTTCCATGCTTTTGCCAAGACTTATTCTGTGTGAATGACATTGGTCTTTTTTTTGTTACAAGTTTGCTGAGATTGCATCTCAATTCATATGTGTGCTGAAATTGCTGAAAAGCTGTCTTATTCTCTTTTTGATGTTATCAAAGGGGGAGAACAAGATGGTGTTAGAAAAGGATTATTAATATGCACAAACTCAGGGGGAGCAACTCATTCATCTATGATGTATCATCACACATCATCTAATATTTACCATCATCAAAAAGAGGGAGTTTGTGAGCAACCCCTTCATATAATTAGTTTTGAATGATAGAAAATATGTGTGAAATAATCAATGAATGTTGAAAATTCTTTACCTATATGTGTGCATTGTAAAAATACAGTATAACATGTTTAAAAAGAGTTAAGAATGTGTTTTATACATAAAACACTGTTATGAGTGGTCACAAAGAGCTTTGCATCAACACGTACTTAAGCAAAGAATCATAAAAATGATTATGCTTCAGTATGAGTCGACACATCCATGCCATGCATCGACTCATAACATGTTGATACTCTTGGAATAAAATTTTCAACCTTTATGCATAGATACATAACTTCATGTATCGACACATGGTATGTTGATGTCCCTGGAAAACAAGTTTCAACTTTTATGCATCAATACATAACTCCATGCATCGATATATAACACGTTTTATCTTCAAAAATAAAAATTCAATTTAGTATGTGTCGACACATATGTTTTATGTATCGACTCCTGTAAAATGGTTGGCTCTATAATATGTTGTAGTATCAGTTTGCGTCGACTCATAACAACTTGCATCTACTCATTTTATGTTGTATAACTAACATGAGTCAACTCATGCTAACATGTATCGACTCATAATGCGTATTTCTGTCTCTAACCGTTTTCTGTTACATATATAAGTATGTTTTCATAAGCAATTTAATTACGACACATTATTACAATTGTGAGCATCAATTACTTAGCAACAAGAAGCCTGAAAGATACTTCATCTTCATCATCTTCTCAATCATCTTAATTCAACAACAACAATGAAAGTCAAACATCTCTGTTCAATTGGATCAAGAGATCAAGAGATAATGTTCAGTTGTTCTTTCAAGGGATCTCAGCTGGGTTGAAGATTCAGAAGGGGGCTTCGAGGGAAAACCAAGGGTTTGTCCTTCGAGAATAGGTGTGTTCTTGACGGTTTGTTAGTCACAGCCGCACACGTCAGATTTAGCTGTAGCGAGGGGTTTGGAAATCAGAGGGATTTTTGCAAACAGGTCGTGGAAGCGGATGATTGATTATGGATTTTGCAGGGAATCTTGATAGGATCATATCAAGTGGAGGTTCTTACAATAAGAAGAAGATCATAGGGATTTTATTATGTCTTTGTAGTGTAACCTTGTATACAAACTTTCAGCAAAATTGATATAAGAGTTCTCAATTTCAATTTTGGAATTGAGAGGGAGACGTACCCACACGCGAGGACGACAATGGGGAACTCCCTTACCAAACTGACTGCGTATTAATTTTCTTTCTCTCTATCTCTTTATATTTTCCACAATTTTGTGATTCAATTGGCTTTCTAAGTTTTCTGTTTAATGATAAAATAATGGTTCAAATACTTTCATCAAATCACCATTATTAATCATCAAACAAGCATACGCCAACCGTTTGACAAAATTTCTTGCAAGTTTTAATTCATTGGAAATATTATTCTAGTGATAAGTGCACTAAAATTGTTAATCAATCTGTGTTTAAGATTTATCTATTTCATACTAATAAAATCTAGCAAGTTTATCGTATGTCCGGTTTTCTAGTAGTTGGTTCAAAATAAATGGAAGTTGATTCTGGACATTACCTTTCAGCTGCTTTTAACAAACTTTGATAAAATGTTTTAAATACTTGATAAATAAGGAGGTGATCTACTCACCCCTCCCCCTCTCGATCACTTGCCACACCGTATAACAATAATGCCCATGCAACATTCTAGAGATGTATGATGTCCATCTTCTCTAATTTTCTAGATGGCATGATGGATGTTTTTATGGATGACTTATCCGTCTATGGAGAAAGTTTTAAAGGATGTATATCGAACCTTGAAATGGTACTAAAAGATTCGTAAGTGTCAATCTCGTGCTAAACTGGGAAAAATGCCACTTCATGGTCCGACAAGGAATTATCTTAGGGCACATCGTATCCGATAGTGGAATTGAAGTTTATAAAGCAAAGATCGAAGTTATAAAAAATCTTCAACCACCCAAAATTATTAGAGAAATAAGAAGTTTTCTAGGACACGCTGGTTTTATCGACGTTTCATTAAAGACTTCTCTAAAATAACCAAACCTCTAGCTGATCTGCTAATGAAAGATGCTGAGTTCATCTTCACCGACAAATTCTTAAACACGTTTACAACACTAAAAAGGCATTCATTTTACCACCTATTATGAATCCTCCTGATTGGAACGAACCATTTGAGATAATGTGCGATGCTAGTGACTATGTCGTAGGCGCAGTCCTAGGACAGAGAAAGGATAAAAAGCTTCATGCAATCTACTATGCGAGTAGAACCCTAGATCCTGTGCAGAAAAATTACGCCACAACTGGAAAAGAATTGTTAGTTGTTGTGTTTGCCTTAGATAAATTTAGTTCTTACTTAATAGGAGCACGAATAATTATCTATATCGATCACGTTCCAATCCGATACATCTTGATTAAGAAAGACGCCAAACCAAGATTACTAAGGTGGATCTTACTTCTACAAGAATTCTATTTGGAAATCAAAGACAAGAGAGGGACCGAGAATGTAGTAGCTGACCACCTATCCAGAATAGAAGGCATCAAACCAGATCATGTACCCATCAATGATGATTTTCCTTATGAACGCCTTGTATCCCAATTAAAATTAGAAAGTATTACAACCGAGTACCCTGTGACTTATGAAGACACGAACACAAACGAAATCTTGGAAGTAGTCTACACTAAAACCATACTGCCATGGTATGTTGATTTTGTCAACTACTTGCTGATGGAGTGTTTCCACCTAATATGTCTTATCAACAAAAGAAGAAATTCTTTCACGACCTTAAACATTATTATTGGGATGAGCCTTTGCTTTTCAAAAGAAGCGCTGATGGTATTTTCCGTCGATGTGTTCCCGAAAACGAAATGGAAAACATAATTTTTCATTGTTACGTCGCTTTCTATGGAGGACATGCAAGTACTTCAAAGACATGTTCTAAGATATTACAAGCTTGCCTCTATTGGCCTAATATTTGGAAAGATGTCCATATCAAGGTTAAAAATTTCAACCAATGCCAACACACTGGAAACATCTTTAGATGCGATGAGATGCCTCAAAAAGGCATTCTAGAAGTGAAATTCTTTGATGTATGGGGAATTGATTTCATGGGAACCTCATGTCTTCTGTAGGAATCACTACATACTAGTTGTTGTCGACTATGTTTCAAAATGGATTGAGGCTGTAGCCTCTCTAACAAATGGCGCACAATTAGTAGTCATGCTTTTCAAGAACATAATCTTTCCAAGATTCAGTGTTCTAAGACTCGTCATTAGTGAAGGTGGCTCCCATTTCATTTTCAAAATATTAGAAAA